ATATATATATATATATATATATATATATATATATATATATATATACACTACTGACAAAAAGTCTTTTCGTCTATCCAAGTTTTAGCAACAATGTATAATAGGCCTCTAGATGACGCTTATTTGACCAAAATATGATCATGCTTTAATTTAGATTGATTTCATTAGGACAGTAAGGTCTGACTTTGCTTAGACAAAAGTCTCGTCACTGAACAGAAATAATGTCCAATATAGAATATAAAGTCCTGCTGCAGTGGAAACAGAATGAATATTGTGTCTGACTCCATCATGAGCTTGGAGGACTGCATCCATACATCTCTGACATGACTCAAATCACTGATTAATAAAGTCATCTGGAATGGCAAAGAAAGTGTTCCTGCAGGACTCCCAGACTCTGCAGATTCATCTTCAATGCCTCCTCCATTTTACCTAAGATATGCTCAATAATGTTCATGTCTGGTGACTGGGCTGGCCAATCCTGGAGCACCTTCACCTTCTTTGCTTTGATGTGGAGGCTGAAGTATGAGAAGGAGCGCTATCCTGCTGGAGAATTGTCCCTCTCCTGTGGTTTGTAATGTAATGGGCAGCACAAATGTCTTGATACCTCAGGCTGTTGATTTTGCCATCCAGTCTGCAGATCTCTCGCACGCCCCCATACTGAATGTAACCCCAAACCATGATATTTCCTTCACCAAACTTTGATTTCTGTGAGAATCTTGGGTCCATGCAGGTTCCAGTAGGTCGTCTGCAGTATTTGTGATGATTGGGATGCAGCTCAACAGATGATTCATCAGAAAACATTCTGCCACTTTTCCAAATGATCAACTAGAAGTCAAGTTATTATTTGCTGCTCTTACAACTGGGATCAAGACAAGACTTTTGTCAGGTAGTGTACATATACAATTTGTGTATTTCATGAAAAATAGACTTCAGCAAAATAAATTGTCAGAGCTAAGGATGAAATCCTAAAACCGCCCCTCCAATAGATTCACATTATGCAAATTAGATGCAAATCTATGGAGGTATGTTCAGGAAGCAGAACTGTAAATACTGACGTCTCATTTCTCAGCTTCCATTCTCTCTTTCAGGAGACAACAAGTCCAATCATCCTGCACTTTGAGAGATATTTCCACAAATAACTTGTTCTCTCTCTTCACAGAAACCGAAACAGTGACCTGAAGGAGCTACAATGAAAGTCAAGGCTTCTGCTTGTTCTTAATGAGCCTGTTTTTACGCTGATGTAGGAAAACGGAAACATTTGTACACTCAGGCGAGGCTAAAGTGTCTAGATAACTGGTTTTGTATGAGGAGGTGGTTTGCAGGAGCGCTGCGCTTTGTGTTTGGAGATGACGTCTGCGTTCTCGCTAAAGCGTGTGGTGAATGCAGACGCTCTCGTACTTTCAGGGAACATTGTGTCTCACCTTTACTGCGGTATTTTACAGGAGCCCAACAGAAAGTTAACAAGCCGGGTCTCTGTACGCCGTGGCCTGTAATTACATATTGCAGACAAATTAGCAATGGCAACCTTATAATTATGCAGAGGAGTCATTGCTGACTGCCCATTTGATCCACGCGCAGCGTCTTAATTGATAAAAGATAGACCGAAGTGCAACAGACCTGCAGGTTATTCTGAGTTATCGATGAACAGCAGGAGTTCGGATTAACTTTGTTTGCTTTAATGAACGGGTCAAATAAGACGCATCACCGATGGGACTGTTGAAACTCACATCCCCAAACATAACTCATAGCTTAAAGCATTAATGTTTTATTTAAATGCGCTGCTGATTATCATACGGAAAGCTTAATGAGTGTTAATTAAGTTTATTATTAAGGGATTTAAGTGGCACAGAGCAGTCCGTGTTAATTACGAACAACTATTTGTCTTGAAACGAATTAATTTACCAGTTGAGGTCTTTATTTGTGGTGCTCGTACGAGTGACAGCTTGACTTAGAGGAGGAAAAAAGCAGGGGGGAAATGATTCATTGACATGACTATTGTGCGCGATTAACAATACACTTTAATTGCGTACACCACTGTTACTTCAATGCTTTTTGAGAAGCAAGAGAAAAAAGAGCCAAGTTTGGATTTATTTGATTAAAAGAGTACTAAAAAAAAAAAAAAAAAAAATATATATATATATATATATATATATATATATATATATATATATATATATATATATATATATATATATATATATATATATATATATATATATATATATATATATATATATATATATATATATATATATATATATATATATATATATATATATATATATATATATATATATATATATATATATATATATATATATATATATATATATATATATATATATATATATATATATATATATATATATATATATATATATATATATATATATATATATATATATATATATATATATATATATATATATATATATATATATATATATATATATATATATATATATATATATA